ACACAGGCTTTGAGGAAAGATGTGAAGTATGTGTGAGTAGTGGAAGCATGCAGATGCATTTCTTTTTCTTGTTGAAAAAATAAAGGCCCTTTCCTATGCAAACATTGGGCAGTGGAGGTGAAAGATATGTTGAAATGTTTCCACCGGCCCCTTAGGGGGCATTGGGGGGGCTAATGCAAAAAGTCATTATTTTGGTTTTAGGGGGCACAATCTTCAGGGCAAGTTCTACCTTGTTGAAGCTACAGATTGGCTTTTTTGGTGACTGGCAATTCAATGTACACCAGTGCAGATGCTGTGGAATAGTAAATCTCTGATTTCTTCTCTAGTCTAATCCACACTGCAGAAATAATCCAGTTTGAGACTGCTTTAACTGTGCTGGCTCAATGCTAGGGAATTCTTGGAATTGTAGTTTTGTGAAACATCTAGCCTTTTGTCAGAGAGCTCTGACATCACAACTGTTTTCTAGGATTCCCTAGCACTGAGCCAGGGCAGTTAAGGTGGTGTCATGCTGGATTATTTCAACAGTTTGGATTGGACCTCTGTTATCCAGGACTGCTGTGAGTTGGAATCCAGCAACATCTGGAAGGACATAAGCTGCCCACTCTGTTTTAAACTTAAAAAACACATTCGAGGGGGGAGGGGAAATGGAGTTTCAGTAGCTTCAATAACTTAGCTATTGCCCCAAAAAAGAGAAGAAATCCTCCATATTGAGAGGAGTGGCACTCTATAAATCTATATACAGTCTAGTTGAGTTAATGCTGGCTTCCATTTTTAACATGCATCTACCAAAAACAGACTGCCTCCCATGGTAAAGATTTACCGTCATGTCTTCTGGCAGGCCAGAATCCACCCATCATACATGGCTATCAGTTTTATTATTAATGCCATCTACTTACATCTTAATGATTATTTTTTTTTCAAATCAATGTAAAAACTGGGTCAATCTGGGCCTGTAATTTATGGATGCATTTCCAAAGTACATTCCCAGCACAACATCCTTGGCTACCCATTCCTGATGCTTTCATTTCCCAAACAGGCATTAGAGGCTTGCCAGTGAAACAGAATAAAATTGCACCTTGTATATTGGGATGCTCTAGCTTTTATTTTTGTTGAAGTGTGATGAAGCATTCCCAGTTTTACATATTTCCTGGCTTTGCTTGACACTAACAGCACAATTGCTTTATTTTCCTTCCTGTTAGATACTATAAAATATCTTTTCATTACAGATTTCTTTAGAGCCATTAACTCTAAACTCTACCTTGACCATTGCTCCGTTCTCTTCTTCCTTGCTGTCTCTTGGAGAAGGGAAGAATTTTTGAAAATATTTAAAAAATGACCAAAAGAACATGTTTTTCATGTGTTGAGAAACTTTAATGAGAAAAATCTGGGACTGACAACAATGTCCACAGTTCAGCACTTATTATATGCAAAATTCACACATGATTGTTTGGGGCAGAAAACAATAATTTCTGCACAGGGAACAGAATCAATTATTTTCTATGCAGAAATGCTATTTTCTGCACTAAACAGCTATGTGTGAATTTTTAACAGAATAAGTTTCAAAAGTGTGAGCAGCTTTTGAAAAATGTAAAGTTTTCAAATACTCTCCCTTATCAGGAAGAAAATTGCTAAAGTTACTGGTTGCATCCTTCAAGAAGAAAATTTGCAGTTAATTATATTCCTGCTGCCTCCTTTATAGAGATGAGGGGGAAAACATTCTGACATGTTTCCTTGATAAAAATTTCTGAGGCTTTGGTTTTTTTCTAATCTGCACAGAAATGCAAAGCTGTTCTGAAAAAAACTACTTCTAATATTCTTCTCCTTCCCTTTCCTTTTTGACAGCTACAATCCCATCACATATTCATGTTGCTATGGGATGATGCTAGATTTGGAGCACACTAGAGAGGATGTAAAACACTGGACAAGCTGCCAACACAAGGTCTATCTCTACTGTAGAAGTAATGCAATTTGGCACCACTTTAACTGTCATGACTCTGTCCTACAGAACCCTGAGATTTGTAGTTTGGTGAGGCACCAGCACTCCTTGGCTGAGAAGGCCAAAGACCTTGCCAAACTACAGATCCATTGATTCCATAGGATAGAAATACAGCACTTAAAGTGGTGCCAAACTGCATAATTTTCACAGTGTAAATGCACCCACAGTTCCTATTGCCATTTTCATTTGCAACACAGAAATTAAGAAAAAGCAGTGTACAGCTCTTGGAAAGAAACCTCCTCCCTTCAGAATAAATGAAGACCTTCTCCATTCCTATTTGAATTCAGATAAATTATTTACACAGGTTTTGTTTTTTGCCTCCAATTTGGGTAGAGCATTTTGAGAGACCATTCACAATTTAGCTCCCAGAAATCTATCTCATACCTCCTAAATGCTTCCACTATTCATACATATTTTACATCTTTCCTCAAAACCTGCCTTCTCTGTGAAACTAGCCTGAATAAATCTTGCCAAGAAAACCCTATAATAAAGACCCTATAATAAAACCCTATAATTGTTATAAATCAGAGTTGACTTGAAGGCACAGAACAACATCAACAAAGGACACACTCCAAGGGTCCATAGGATGGAGCCATGGCATTTAAAACTGCCATGAAATTATTATAATTGTACGGTGTTGTTTTACGCTCATGGAAAAAGAAAGCAAGTGTTTGACTGAGCTCCTGTTTCAAGTTTAATAGAGCATGGGTCCAAAAGGCTTTGGCTCTAGACCCAATTTATTTGCAAGTAATATTTTTGTCTATTTTATTTATTATTATTTTTGCACTCTGTAGGCATTGCTAAGTACATCAAAAACAGTGTGCCATCTGCTTCATTTGTGCAAAAGAATACATTTAATGATGCCTATTCAGGCTGCTTTGCAAAGCTCAGCTAATCAGTGGAAATGCAGGAAGTTATCTCTTGTTATTTTGGTACTTTTTAAAATTGGTTGTTTCATTGACAAAAACAGGAACTTCTGATTCTCTCTTTTGTTGTGTGTGTCCTTTTCTATTTTAGCAAGCTTTTTTCTGAATGCTCACTGAAATCATAGCCTGGAGTCCTGTAGTGCCGTTGCAATGGTGTAAGAGGTTACACTTTCTCAGAGGTTCACAAGGGCAGTAACAAATTCAGAGCTGTGTAGCTCTGTTACACCAGGATAAACTCTTGAAGAAAGGATTACACTGTTTTGGAATTTCTCCCCTCAGTTTACAGCCAAATTGGTGATAAAAGGATACACCACTTAAAAAGAGATACAAAAAATGAACTGCATTTCTCTGTTGGATGAGGAACACTAACAATGGTGGTATTCACTGCTAGCAAAATCAACATTTCTCCCAATTTAAGTTAGGGGCTCTTTTTAGGTTTTTTGTCCCAAAATCACCTCCAAATACAGTTCCATTTTTGGACCATGAATCACACAAGCCTAGTAACCAAAAAATAACAATAGGTTTCATGCAATTAAATGGCACTTTAAAAGTATTTGAAGAGCTAGGTATCTTGCATTCATAAGGATTTTCCCTAACATTGACAGTAATGATGATAAAACATTTTTAATTGCTATTTTACAGAGAATAGGGACATTATCTGTGCACTCAGTTTATTTGAGCCTTTTTTGTTGTTGCTGTTGTTAACTGCCCTTGAGTCAACCTTGACCTCTGGCAACCCTATGGATGAGAACTCTCCAAGACCCTCAGTCCTCCACTGCTCTGCTTAAATCCTGCAACCCCTTAATACCCAAAGTGACCTCCTTCATAGAGTCCATCCATCTGGCATCTGACCTTCTTTTCTTCCTCCTTCCCTCCACCTTCCCCAACATTATTGTCTTTTCCAAAGAGTCCTCTCTTCTCATGATGCGTCCAAAGTAGACAGCCTCAGTTTGGTCATCTTGGCTTCTAAGAATATCTCTAGCGTGATCTGCTCTAGGACCCATTTGTTTGTCCTTTTGGCTGTCCGTGGGATCCTCGGTACTCTTCTCCAGCATCACATTATCTCAAATGCATTGATTTTCCTCCTATCTTCTTTCTTGACTATCCAGCTTTCATATCCATCCATGGGAATAGGGAATATGATGGCTTGTATGATCCTATCTTTTGCCCTTAGTTGTATATCTTTGCATTTTAGAATCTTTTCTAGTTCTTTCATAGCCACCTATTTATGTTTTTATACCTATGCTATAAAGCATCATCCATACTGCCTGTATAATATGTATTAGTCATTGTGTGTTTTCTGTATTATTGTATGGTAAGGAAGCATACTTAATTCATCCGTATTTTTAAGAAGGCACACCAAAGTCTTGAAAGTGCTTGCAAAGCAGTGATTTGTTATATTACACGGTTGCTCCCTAGTGGCCAACATGGAAAAAAATCAATTTCTCTGTAACATTTTTTATCAAGCTTCTTGTCAACTTCTGTTATGAGGTACCAAATTTCACCAGTCACTCTTGGGTGTAACTAGTTACAAACATAACTAAATCACAACACAGTTGTGACATAGTGAAGGATAATGTCACTCCCTTTGCAATGTAATTGTAACTGTTTAAATTATTTCTATTGCTACGAGTGTCAGTGGGAACCTGAAACCTAAGCTAATTACTTTCTCAATGTAACTTCCAAAGCTCTGGTTTAATGTCCATTTATTTATTTTATTTATTCATTTACATCTCACCTTTCCCGCAACAAAACAATACACGTTAAAACCTATGTAAAAGCATCAATAAAAAGGATAGATATAAAAGTTCCTTAGGCTGCATCTGCATTGCAGAAATAATGCAGTTTGACACCACCTTAACTGCCATGGCTCAATGCTATGGGATTTGTAGTTTGTTGTGGTCCAGTGGTCTCTGACAGAGAAGACAAAATATCTCACAAAACTACAGTTCACAGAGTTCCATAGCACTGAGCCATGATAGTTAAAGTGGCATCAGTCTGCATTATTACTGTAGCACAGATGCAGCCAAAACAAAACAAAACAAAACAAAAACCAGGAAAAACCAATTTTAATGAGAGCCTGTGTGGCATAAAGGTTTTTGTGTTGGACTATGACTCTGGAGACCAGGGTTCGATTCCCCACTTGGCTATGAATCCCACTGGGCAAGTCACACACTCTCAGCCCAGGGAGGTGATGACAAACCTCTTCTGAACAAACCCTCAGCAAGAAAACCCCATGATAGGGTCACTTTGATAGGGTTGCCATAACTCAGAATCTACGTGAAGGTGCACAACAATAACAATATTAAAACCATTAAAATTAATTAAGAGGCTCTATCCAAACCACAAAATGGCACAGCAGACCATTAAAAAACCATCCTTGTTAGTTTCTAAACTCCTGGTGTCATAAGAATGTTTTGACTTGCCAACAGAAGGGGAGAAAGGACATGGCCATCCTGTCCTCTCTAGGGAAAGTG